AGAGAATTGCACAAAGCAAAAAGCCTCTCAAAAATTGGAACACAGAGTTGAAATTTAACAAACTGCAGCCAGTGACCCCGAGGAGCAGAAAGCAAGGCCAGCTCTCACCAGGCGATGCGCAGTTCACCCCTGTTTATTCCCTGTGACTCAGGAATTCAGGGAGCAGAGCCAAGAGTGAATCGGGACATGGACAAGGGCATGCAGTCAGGACCCCCAAGACTGGGCCTTTTCTTCTCAGGAACTCAGTGTCCAGCCAGCCCATAGTCACAAGGACAGGAGGACAATGGAGACAGAAAAGTGAAAGCCACTGCAGCGTGGAGGTTGAGGAAGAGGAGGATAAAGCCGAACTGTGCTACTAGGGAATGTTTACAGAAAGGAAAGCCATGAGCCCAAAAGCCGGTTTTCTTCCATCCATAGCCACGGAGAAGGGGACAGGCAGGGAAATTCAGATTTCCCAGCAGCATGGCAGGTCCTAGCGTCCAGCTCTGCTCACTAGGCTGGATTTCTACAAATAAACATCCACAGCAGAAGGACAGATCTGCTTCTCAGCAAGATTTCAAAGCTGTGCACCAGAGTGGGAGAGAAAACAGGAAGACCGGGGTGGGGTGAGGGTAGAAAACGGGATGGAGGAGGGACAAAGGGGCATGCGCAACCTGGGCCAGATCAGTCAGGAAACCTTCACCCTCTACCGTGAACCTGACTGAAACTGACCAAAGTACTTAAATTGCCCCACCATTTCTTCAGTTTGTTTTGTTTATGAGGTGTGGACATTTCGGGTATGCTGGCAGTAATGATGCCCTATTCCCTGCTCTGAGCTGTGGGGTTTCAGGTTGCCAGCTGTTAGCCTGACAAAGCCCGAGGTGAAGATGAACTTCTTCAAGCTACCAAGCCTGAGGTGAAACCAAAAGAAGCTAAACCGTGGAGCAAATCCAGCCACCTGATTCGTGTGTGCTCCGCACCCATCTGTCATGCCTGTGCAGGGGTTCATGCAAGAGAACGTGTGTGTGTGTGTGTGTGTGTGTGTGTGTGAGAGAGAGAGAGAGAGAGAGAGAGAGAGAGAGAGAGAGATAGGATGGGTTATTTGAAGATGACAACATTCAGTTCTGACCTCCAAAGGACAGAGGGAAAACACAGCTGGTCCCAGTTGGAGCTAACTCCCACCATGTTCCCTCAGCGCCACGGATTCCCAGGTCTGGAGGTTGCTCCCACCCAACCCCTACCCTTGCTCTGTACCCAGCAGGGGCAGGTGCGGTCACAGTGGCTTACTGAGATTTTTTTTTCCTTTTTCTTTGTTAATGAGAACTGACTTGGCATTTAATAAAACCTTATTTATATAAGGGCTACGTGTACTCAAGAAACAAGCCAGGAGAAGGGCCGGCCCACCACCCCTGTGCCGGAATGACAGTGGCTGTGCGCCAACCAGCTGCACTAACAGCCAGGCCGCAGAGGCTAGTGATGTTCCTCCAGGGGGCCATGGGGTCTGCCCTGGCCACCCTGTGCCTGCCTGGGGATCATTTTCTTAAAACCACTCCCAGGATGGAAACAGGAAGCAATGAAAGCAAAATCTCATTTAATGCTTGCTATTTCTCTTAGATTCTTTATTAGTAATTTATTTGCTTTTAATGTTTAGCTGCCCTGTTCGTTTGTCCTGGGGAAAACACATTTCAAGGGCACCAGACGACTAGACAGGGTGTTTACCCTTTGCTGGGAGCTCACGTGTTCTGTTTTAGTCAGCTCTTTCCCCACGGAGGCAGAAGCGGGAATGAAGAGGATGGCAGGCAAGGAGGTCTTTGGAGGTCGCCCGATGCCTGCCACCAGGCTGTTTTCCTCTGGCTCGCCTCCCTTTGAGGGAAGCACCTCTGCGCACTCCATTCTTGAAGCCCAGAGATGTTTGGAGTATGCGTATTGCTGTTTCGTCTACAGAAACTGAGATTGTAGCGTCAAACTGCTTTGCTCAAGGTTAATAATTTTTGACCCTGGATGGAATTTCGAATTATCTGGAAAGCTCTCAAAAATACTAACATACACAAGCTGTATCCTGTACTAACAGACTCAGGATCTCTGGATTCTAGGGATGGGGCCTAGAACAGTACATTTATCTATGTATGTATCTGGGTTCCATCTATGTATCTATGTATCTATGTATCTATGTATCTATCTATCTATCTATCTATCTATCTATCTACCCATCCATCCATCCATCCATCCATCCATCCATCCATCCATCTATCTATCTACCTACCTACCTATTTTAGATGGGGTCTCTCTTAGTCTGGGCTGGCCTTAAACATCTGTGTAGCCAAGGATGACCTTAAATTTCTAATCCTCCTGCCTCCACCACCCCAAGCACAGAGAATACAGGCATACACCGCCATGTTTAGTTTTTTGCAGTGCTGGAGATCACGTCCAGGGCCTATCAGGGATGTCAGGCAAGTGCTCTACAACCGAACTACGTCCCCAGCCCCTCTCTACAGCTGTTAAAGCTTTCTGGGTGGTAAAGCGAAAGCTTTCTGTGTACAGCTAAGATGAGGAACTACAGCTCTCAGGGACAAGCATTGTCTGTGCTGAGCTCTCTCAGCGGAGGGGGCACGAACAGGTCTGTCGGGTTGTTTGTGAGCTGAGTGAGAGCAGAGGCTCAGTGCTGGCTTCACGGCCCCAGCTCAGCGCCTGTCCCCTGCAGGTACCTGCTGCCGCTGTGGGTCCACGTAAGTCAGTGAGGGCAACTGGCAAAACTTCTGATTTCTAAATACAATGAAAGGTAGAAGGCAGGAGTTCTGGTCTTTCCTGTTTGATAAGTAAACACTCAGGTCAGTGGCCCCAGCGACTAACTATAGTTTGGATCTTGAGTGTTGCACAAAAGCCTGTCTGTTAAAGGCATGATCTCCATCTTGACCCTGATGGGAGGTCATGGGACATGTAAGGGACATGGCCTAGTGGGAGGTCTTTGGGCTATTGGGGGGGGCGCTGCCATCGAAGGGTATAGTGGGAGCCCCAAGTCTTTCCCCTCAGTCTTTTTTGCTTTATGACCAAGAAATGAGTTTATTCTGCCACAATGTGCTACTTTATCACAGGACCAAAAATGATGAGGCCTATCAGTCACAGACTGGACTCTCTAAAACAGTGAGCCAAAGAAAACACTTTCTCTGACAGACTGAGGTACGTGTTATGGTAATGCAGAACTGACTAACACAAGGTCTAGTCACTAACAGCTAATTCTGTCCACATGCAAATTTTATCTGGCTATGCCCAGGCCTAATTGAACTGAAGACCATGCCCTGGAGGAGGCCAAGGGTTGCTTTTGTAGTCTACTGTAGACAGAGATGTTCCAGCCACAGGCTGTTAATTCTCAATGCAGTATGGGAAGCATAAAGACCATCTCTGAGGTCCTAGACTTTCTGTGGTGGCCTCCTCAGGTTCTGACCCCCTTACTTACTCTGGAGGCGTACTCCGATAAGCCGAGAAAATCGCAGAGTAAAAAAAGTTAAAGTTAAACTCTGCCAAAAACTATGAGGCCTGTTTTATTTTGATCTATTTTAAAGAATTTGTCTGTCTTCTTTCCTTCTCTTTTCTTTTTTCCTTTTCTGTATATTTTTTTCCCCTAAAGACAAGTAAGATCTTGTGTATCCTAGGCTAGCTGAAGATGACCATTAAAGCCTGCCATTCCTGCCCCTACCTTCTAAGTGTTGAGGTTGCAGATGTTACGAATATTAGGGATCTACCCCCAGCTGAATGGAAGGCAAGCACTCCTATTAACTCAGCAAGAACCCTTTCCCAAGTTTAAAGACAAGCTGAGAGAGAGAGAGAGAGAGAGAATACTAGAGAGAGGTAGAGAAATAGAGAGAGGGATAGAGAACATGCAAGAACAAGAGAGAGCAACAGAGGGAGAGAGTTAAAGAGGGAGAAAGAATGTACCTTTCCTGGGGTTTATGAAAACAGAAAAAAACTGTGGATTCTATAATCAGCAAGTAATTCTAGAATGTCTCAATTAAGATCTTAGTGACTGGCATTTCTCATGGCTCAATTCCCGAAATTAAAATATAGGCAAAAGGAAACCTATACTCTGGGCTCTAGCCACAGCCTATCTTTTCCACGGGATTCTAATGAATACTGCTGAAAGCATGGCCTTTGGGGGCGCCCATAAGTGTCTCTGAAGAACTAAGACAGCGCCCCACCAGTGGGGCTGGGGACTTGAACTTGCATGCTTCAGCTGCCTCTGATGACATCATACTTCCTAAAGTTTGATACCTCTGTGCTCCACCACAGCCTTCTAGCAAAAGAGGAGACACTCTCGGCCCTGAGAGCCTGACTACGGCCCGAGAGCAGAAGGCTGGCTTAGCAGTCCAGGCTTTCACGATGTTGAGATGATGAAAGTTTTTTTTTTTTTCTATCTTGTACAACACTATCTAGAAAGAGCACCTTTGGGGGTCAAGTACAGATCCATAGGAAGGAGCTTAAACCCCTTACTTGCTGAAATTTAAAAGTGCTTTGTACAGTTTTTTTTTTCTCTCTCTCTCTTTTCCTACTATTTTATACACAGGTATGTTTACTTAAAGCCCACAGGCTGCAGATTCCCCACGAGAGCTATGAAAGAATCCCAATACACCTGTAGCTGTCAATGTCATGTCACAGTGGCAAGAGGTTTGGCACCCTGGAAATATCATACTTGATGTATAGAGGGACAGAGTCAGTGTCTTGCCTGTAACCATGAGCGGGGAATCCACTAGTCTGCAGGTGGTGGCGAGCAGGAGTCTTACATTTAGAGTGGGTTCCCACCCACCACCTCACATGCTTGGGGGTAGCATGTGATCCTTTCCCTTGCTACTATTCCAGAAGGACTGTGGTTTTCTGTTTTGTTTGTCTCCCTTGGGTGATGAGATGCTGGAGAATCCTCAAGGCTGGCCATGAGCAGCAAGCTTACACCTTCCCCAGTCAATTCTCCAATGGTCTTCCTGCTCCCAGGAATCACCTTCCGAGTAAAGAGCATGGAACCCCTCCCTTACCACACGGAAGAGTTTGAAGAAGTCCACGTTGGCGTACAGAGTGTCTTCTATCCACTGTAGGGTGACCTGGGAGAGGGGGCACAGGGCATCACGGACAGTCTGTGCCCCCCAGTGCTGGCTGAAGATGATGAAGCGCTGCAAGAGGGTCTCGCTGCAGGCGATGTTCTTCAGTTCCAGGTCCGGGACTCCATAAGCGAACTGCAGGGAGGGGAAGAGATGCTGGAGAACTGCTCGTAGGAAAATTTTCCCACCCTCCTGAACAAAGATGCCGCATCCTGACCCACACTCAGGAGGCAGAGGCAGGTGGATCTGGGAATTTGAGGCCAGCCTGGTCTACAGAGTGAGTTCCAGGACAACCAGGGCTGAGAAACCTTGTCTTGAAAAAGCAAAAACAACAACAGCAACAACAAAACCCCACAGATTAATTTCAGCCATTCAGGTGGGTTTAATGTCATCTAAGGGCACTTGAGATTGGAAGGCAGTAGAAGAAACAGCATCAGAATTTGCTGATGTTGAGAGAAAGGCTTGAAGGCCATTGCTCATCTTGCAAATGGAGGGAGCCTCCATCCAAGGAGTGTGCACAGTCTGTAGAAGGTGGGAAAGACGAGAAAGTAGGTTTCCTTTATGCATCCTGGTAAAGAGTGTGACTTAATGGCACCTTGACTTTCAGACTTCTGACCTGGAGAATCATGAGGTAATAAACCTGTGTCGCTTTAAGCCTTTAAGTTTGTGGTCATTTTTTACAACAGTAACAAAAACCCAAACCCTGCCTCAAACCTCACTGTATCAGAAAGCTTTTTGAAAATTGAGAGATCTTCTTTTAAAAGGATGCTGAGGTGTCATCAAGACCCTCTCCCAACAGCTGAAGTAGAGGAACAGTGAAAACATACTTATAGTGACATTGATCAACTTCTTCTTCTCACTAAAATTACCACATGAAAATTGGTTTTGATTTTATCTAAATATCATCTATCTATCTATCTATCTATCTATCTATCTATCTATCTATCTATC